GTGGCTATATGCAAAGGAGCATGGTGGTAAAGAAAGGAACATGATAGCTGTTAGTGAGGAGACACTCCAGCTGGGGAAGCAGTTAGGGGCATGGACTGGTGTCAGGGTCCGAAGTGGATATGGTTGCTTTTCTCTGAGGGATTCCTCAATGAGTGAGGCAGCAAGGGTAAAGCTGAACATTGTCTACAGAAAACCAAGCACACCACCAGCACAGCGTTCTCAGTACCACAATCTGTTAGCAATAGACAAAACTGGATTGAACCAGAGAAAAAACCAGGACACTTTCCCAAACAGACATATAACTGATTATGTAAGATGTCAACCACCCTTGTCATTCTTTCCTCTCTGACCCCAAAATGAGAAGAGCTCGGCAGTGGGGAGTGAGGATGGTTGTTTCGGAGTCAGACCTCCTTTCAACTTCTCTACTCCAAGCAGCAGGCTCATGGTTTGTGTAGAGGGGAAAGAAAGGAGATTATATTTATGTCAGTTTCACAAGCGAAGTTTTAAATTGAACAAATAAACGTCAAATAACTGAAATTGGTAGAAAGTTAGAAGATGTGCTAAGATTTCATTAAAGAATACGAGAGCAAGATTTGACACATCGTGATTGGAAGCCTTGGTTGGAATTAAAAATGTAGCTATTTTGTGTTTATACTCTTGTTGAGACATATTACTTGAGTAACCAAACAATGCAACATAACACTATAAGCCACACCAAACTAAGGAGGAATCCAAATGCACTAATCTAAAATTATAATTTCATGGGACATTTTATTTAAATGTAAAATTTCATCTGACTCCTTAGTTTTGAGATTCTGTCAATTGCTTCTTTGTTATAACAAAGTTAGTTGATCTTCCTTCCATCAGCAACCTATAATACAAACTCTTCAGGCCCTTGTTAGGAATGTATACTCATATTATCTTCTATTCTGTTTCTAAAAAATTCTTCTGAGGGTAGTAATATTTAAGAAAGTTCATCTAAGGAACATTGTACCCTTTGTCTAAATACTTTGAATTCTGCCTTTGGATCAAACTGGATCAGTGGAATTTTATGTACCTGGAGACAAAAATATATCTCCTTTAAAAATCTGTCACCAACTTTAACCTCAAAGTTATATTCTCAAGCTTCTTTGAATTATTACAAGAAATAGTTTATAAAATTCTCTTCTATTTGTTGGTAAAAATATTGCTGATATTATTCAATGTGTTGCTCAGTGTGATCTCCATATGGGAAATTTCTCCATCAACTTAGTGACAGGAAAAATTCTCTCATGATTTGTTTCTTTCTTTAAATAATGAGAATTGTGAAACTTCCTGTTTCCTTTGTTATTCTTGATATCAGTAAGTTCAAAGCCAAATTTGCAGCTCTATCAGAGCAAGTATCTTAAACAATATGTACAATATATTGCACTTCTGTTTTTTCTTGAATTTCATCCTTATTTTATCAGTATATTTTACATTTTGGGGGAGTGTCTGTTTGTAAAGAAATGGAGTATAGGTAAATAAATTTGGTTCATGTGCCAGGAAAAGTTGGTTCAGGTGACTGCAAGTTGAGCTCCTAACATGACATTGATTCATCTTTGAGGTGTTTTTCAAAGACTACTTCCAAAAANTGTAATCCCAGCTACTAAAGAGGCTGAAGCAGAAAAATTGCTTGAACCCAGGAGGCGGAGGTTGTGGTGAGCCGAGATCGTGCCATTGCACTCCAGCCTTGGCAACAAGAACAAAACTCAAAAAAAAAAAAAAAAAAAAAAAAAAAAAAAAAAATTAAAAGGGCCACCAAAATGTAATCTTCATTCATTTATTAGTTTAATAACATTAACCAGTCTATACTGTATATTCTAATAAATTGAATAATAATAGGATTATTTTAACAGTGTTACTGTCAGTTAATGCTAAAAACTCGATCTCTGTTTTTTATTATATGTATCGTTATATGTAGAAAAGCTTAGCAGATCCTCACGTCAATGCCCAGGAAAATTATCCCCAGCATTATAAAGACACTTATGTCAGTTATAGAACGTCTTATAGAAGAATAGGTATAATAGGTAATATTTTGGGTAAGAATGTAGCACAAGGAAAAGGAGAGTCAGTGACAGAGTTGTGACAGCTTGACTCCACATACTAATTAATTACATTGATCCTCTTTGTTTTCTCAGCTCAAGCAAATTAAAGTGCATGGGTACCTTCAAAATAACACATGATAAAAGGGAATGGATTCACAAATGACAATAGCTGTGTTTACCCGACAACTAGTTAATTCACTAGTTTAATGACATTGGCCAGTTGTAACGTACATCCCAATAAACTGACCAATAAAAAGGTTGCCTTAGCATTATGGAACTATAATCCAAGTATAAGTTTAAGGGCCTCTAAGTATTAATCAGATTATTATACACAGACATTCATGTATTATCAGGTATGAAAGAACTTTGTACAAGCTAGGGGATATTCAAACAATGATAAAAGTCATCCATGACTAGCCACCTGGGCACTGTACTTCTGGTAGTTTAAGGCCATAAGATGCCTCAGTGCTTTGACATTGCTAAGTGTAAAAAGGACTAAGCAATAATTTGTTGGCTGATAGAAATGCATGTGGTCACATTGCTATTTCACTTGTTATGAAATGTAAGATATCTGCTGTGGATTTCTAAAAGACTCCAGTCCACAAATGTATTTCTCCTGACTGTTCCTGTAATTGCACAGAATGGCGCAGGGAACACAGACCAACACACAAAAAGAAGAGGAACTCTTTGAAAACATTTTCTTCACACCGTACTTTAGGACAAAAGTATTGCAGAATAACATTTATGGTTTTAGAAAAATCACACTGCCATGTGTGTAGCTATGCAACAATCTTGCATGTTCTTCACATGTACCCAATTAATTTGATTTATTTTTCTTAAGAATTTTTTTTTTAGGCTTTACCAAAATACTGATGATACTCTGTCAAATTATGTTTGTCAGATTGAATAAAATGAAACTCTTAGTGGTCCTGAAATAAAAACAATTTAAAAAAAGAAAAAACAGCAAAAAAGAAATTTGAATGAAAGACAAACTTTTGCTTCTTTGAACTTTTGGAAGACAATATTATCAGGATCCAATGTTTCATTCCTTCTTTCTCTGCCATTCAAATTTCTACTAAAGTGTAAGGTACATCATGAAATTTGAGAGCATACACTGCAATGCCCATTGAGCAGACTGAATAAAGGCCATTAATATAGCAAGGAAGACATACTTTTAATAACTTTATTCTGATATCCACTTATTCTTTATTTACATATGCTTAATCTCTTAATTTTCTACAAATTGTAGCTTATAGTCACAGAGTTTTTAAAAACTTTATGAGAGCCCTCTCATTTTATGCATCTACAATTCTAGGTTATACATAAGCCTAAGTATACAGGTCCATGGGGCTATATAAAGAATTTATTTGAATTTGAAATCCAGATTTTGTGAAAGAATAAAATTTCTTGAGATTTTTAAAAAATAAGTCTGGCAAGTCTTGGCCCAAAGTTACACTGAGAGGGAAGCTGTATTCCTTTGAAGGCAAGAGTATAATCAATATTTTCATAGAATGTGAATATAAAGTATAATATATATTATTAAACCATATTAACATTTCATTGGCAGAGATTTCACTTTATTAAACGCTGTTAATCTCGTAACCCGTAATCCCTGCCTTTTTACTGCTGTTACTGTTATTGTTGCCTCTTTATTTTTGGCTAAATTACAATTTTTAAATGAATGCACAGAAACCCGATATGATATATTGAATGACTTTAAGTAAATTAATATCCCTGCTGTTCATGGAGGTAAGTGATCTAGTGACCAGAATAAAAAGGATATATGTTGCTAGCCCCTAGCACAGTACGCCCCTGCATAGAAGTTTCTTGGGTTACTTCTAGTGAGTGATTCCAATTCTTGGCAGTCTGATCCCACATGTTATATAAATTCCAACTCCTGCATCCATTTAGGTGAGCTGTTGGCTAAGTAGATGTATAGTGAAATTAAAAAGTATTTATTTGTTTTTTAAATGGTGATTTTTAGGACTCGTTATGCCCTTTCTTTTTCTACCCCTTTCCTTGCACCCCATCCCCTACTCATCCTTCCCATGCATATTTTTGAGAGCCTGTATATGCTAGGAACAGGGTTTCAGTCTGTTAAGGATTCACAACCTTGTAGAGTTGAGATACCATAAATAAAAAATGCTAGTATAACGAGGTAAATATTATGACACTATCAAAGCACAGAGGAGAAACACCTACTCTGGTTTGTGAGGATTAGGGGAAGCAATTTAGAGATTATACCTAACACAAACACACAGATATTTGCATAGTATGTGGTCACGCATTAAAAAAAGATGTTATTTACGTCCCAGAAATAAGGCAGTAGTGACTCAGTGTGAGCTGATATTCTCCAGTATAATGAAAGAAATATAACGTCTTAAGTGTGGGTTGATATTTGCAAACTACCGGATTTTTCTAGAAGAATGATGCCACATAATTTAAAAATATTAATGCTTTTCTAATTTCTAATGTATTTTCAATGGCTAATATAGTTAAGGCCAAAGGGAAACTTTCATTATGTACATAATAGAGTGGAAAATGTCTTAGGTTAGTTTAAAAAATATAAATGTCAGTCCTGGCTTGGCAGTTTAATAACTATTTTGTTTTGACCAAGTCATTTAATTTAATTAAATCTCAGTTTCTTCTCTGGAAACAAGAGAAGGTCAAGTAAGATAGTTTTAAAATTTCTTTCCACATCTGACTTTTCTAAAAAATATGGTTTACACTAATACTTAAAAGAAATTATCTTAATAGCTTTAAAGTTCCCACCCCTAGGAAGTGCTTATAAATTATTTTTTCTCTTGCTCCATGTAAAATTTGTCCTTGTCCTACTAGTCACATACAGTCCCCACTGCACTAGCCAAAACTCGTCAGACTGGTTCTGTTGAGATCATCAGTGACTTATTTCTTCACTTCAATTTAACCCACAAAGTCACTGATGGAGCTGGATGCACACACTTGGATGTAGACCTCAGTCTTCACCGGACTCTTCATTGCTGGTCAGCAATGTATCGGTGAGTTTCCTTTTTCTTTCTTGAAGTCTTAAGGTAACTTTTGGTTTAAAACAGCATGAGCCACACCAAGGAATCTGTAGATCTTCAATTTATTATTATTTTTTTAAAATATAGAAACATACTTATGAGATTTGACATAAAATTATATCAAGAAAAAGATTTCTATTCTTTATTAGTGTTTCCTGTCCTCTCGTGTTGTACCTCACAGTGTTTTTCTGTATACCTTTAGAAGGGTCCTGTACAATGTAAAGGCACATGGTGTTTGACAGCTATCTTTTAGTTAGTTAGTTTGCCTATATGTTTCAAGAAATATATAACATATTTTTAGCCTGGGCTTTGTTTTTCTTATTGAGAAATACTTTTATTTTTAAGGTGTACATGAAAAAAAGTTTGAAATCATGCAGACCAAAACTATGTTTATTTTTGGAAGTAGTTTAAAATTTAAAAGTTGTAGATGTTTTGAAAGAACCAGAAACAACTGAATAAATATGACTAATTTTTTATAGCCTGATTTAAAAAATAAATCCACTGATATACCTGGCCATAGTAAACTCCAATATGTAAACCATGATCATTTTGAGGTTGTTTTCTTTCAAAGTTAAAAACTAACCAGTAACAACATTTTAAGGTACTAATTTTGTCTTTGAAAATAATTTTGTCTTCTGATTCAAATTTATTTTCTCTGATTCACATATTGGCATATAACTTTTTATTAGTTTTTAGTTTGAGAAGAGAACAGTTTCAAATGTTAAACTTTGAATGAAATCTGTGGTCTTCATTTAACATAGAAGAACAGATTCTGTCATCAATTGAAAGTTCTACATCCTTGTAATGAGAAACTTAATACTCTTCTGTACATGTCCATGAAGCAACTAAAAGCTACAGATACTAAAAATTTTGTCAGACTTCTCAAGGCTCCCTGCTTTTTGCAAGTATTTCTTTATAACCAATGAAGGTTTTGTATCCTATTCTCCTTTTCACATTTCTTTAAGAATACTATAGAAAACAGTGCTTCAAGAAAGCTTCCAATAAACTTAATATGCTAAATAGATTCCGAGCCTTATCTATGGTATATGTGAGTGAGTTGGAATTTAGTTATAAATGTGTAGAGGAGGTATAATGTGGAAATACTGGAATGAATTTTTCTGAAGGTAGTCTCTAATTTGACAAAAGATGTGCCTAATTTTAAAAATCATACTGCAGGATAAATGCAAGTAATCTCTTAGGAAAAAGCCAAAAACAAAAACCAACCAACCAACACACAAAAAATATTCCTGATCTGAAGATTGTATAAAAGATGAAGCACATCTATGTTTGAGTGAGTCTAGATGAGAGAAAATGTTCACAGCATGTACTAAAGCAGAAAAAGATTAAGTTTATTATTCACATTTGCTGTTGTAAATGTGCCAACCAGAGTGTTTTCGAGAAAGAGTGATAATTGAAATCCTAGAATATAAGTAGACAATTTCTTTTTAAGGTCATTGATGTATAACTCAGAAAGAATATAAGAAACAGGTGGGGAATTTTATTAAAAAACATGCTCCTTCCTTTTCAGTCAGATTTCTGATAGCCTTCTCCCTGACTCTACCTGAATAAGAATTTTTTTTTTTTTAATATAATTTAAGGGCAGGAAAAAATTTAGACTGGGTAAACATTATTCTTCTTGTACTGCCATTTTCTCCAAACTCTTTACTTTGGACTATCTGAGCATGAAGAGATCAACACATGAATCTTATAAACACACGACAGAAAGTTAAAGAAAATTTTATCAGGCAAAGTTTATAGAAAAGAGATCTGGGAAAAGAAGAATGTTTCATTAAATATACTTATTGGTGATAGAAGTGTATGCTAACTATATTTATCAGCAACCACTGAGAAGAATGAAAAGGAAGCAGACTAAACTTATAGGCATCAACATTCACACACGTTTAGATGGATGAAGGTGAATGAGTAATATTCAAATGAGACAAAATGGACAACTTTAATTTTTGCTTAATAGGATAAGCACTGTCTCTCAAAGTCTGATCCATAGATCCCTACATTACAGTGCTTATTAAAAATAGAAAATCCAGCTCTCATCCCAGAAATTCTAATGAATCTCTGATTGAGACATAGGAATCATATTTTAAAAATTTACACAATGTAATTATTATGTACCCTAAAGTTTGACAAGCGCTAATAGTGTAAAGACATTAAAAAAGAAAAAGAAACGTGTAAGGCTGAAAGAAATTAAACCATAAATGAAATAAGCTAGTTGTTAAAAGAAGCAGTTCTTTGTTTTGTTAAATTGGTGTAATTATATCTTAATGGGAGCTGCTCTCTCCCAGTCACCTTTCCCTTCAAGGGAGAAGAGTACTCATTTATGCAACCTGGTGATGATTAAGGAAGAGAGGATAATTTCAGGAGGAATAGGAAACTGAAGGGAGAATATAGACATTTTTTGGGTAGTTTATGTCTGATAAGGAGGATGACTTTATTTGGATCATAAACATCTATTCATCTATTTGTTTACAGAAAAAACTTTGATATAAAATTAATCCAGCAGTGTCACCCTGTGACACTAGTCAGTAGGAATATTGAAGAGGCACTCCTTTGAGGCTTAGGTCCAGAGTTGCTATATTATTGTGCTAAGTATTTAGCATGTGCCCACACTTCTTCAACTAGAATCAGCCCTGATCCATATAACAACTTTTAGTTAGTTTTCACTGCATACTGAGTCCTGTGTGGAAGAAAACTATCTATTGAACACCTACTGTACATTGCGTATTTTGTTAAGTGCAATTTCATTAAATTTTGGTAACACTCTGAGAAGTGGTAACTACTTTTATTTCTTTTAAAAGATGAAGTGCCTATAACTCAGATTGCCTAGGCTGTTAGTAAGTGTTGAATCTAGAATCTAATCCTGATCTTTCTGGCTTTAAAATCTATACTTTTTTCCCTATAACATATTGTCTACCATGGGTAGGAAGCTAAAATAGAATCTTTGGAAAGTTTGCAGAGAAAATAGATGGCAACAGAGAAATAGAAAACAAACCCACACATATCCACACATGGAGAAAATGTAGGTGCATAGATTTAAAAAACAAGAAGATGTAAAGATTAATATAAAATCAAGCACATTCTAAAAAGAAGTGTGGGGATATAATTTTACTTTCATTTATAAGTTTTAAAAACATTAAAAAAATGCACATCCTGTCCTTATACCTCCTACTTTGTATTTAAACAAAATAAGCAGTGACCTAACTTTTCTGCACTGTCTCAAAGGTGATCAGATTATAGCACTTTAGTTACATCATCTCTGTTTTCTAAAAAGGATTACATTTGCTGTACTGTGAAAATCATGTTTATCTTAGAGCAACATTTCATGGAGCTAATTCATTGGTCTGTAGTAACTGCTTAATGGATTTTTGTTATTCTGACATTGTTGTCTGCTTTCCTCCAAAAATATGTCATTGCTTAAAGAGAAAGTAAATAGAAACTGTCCAGAAAAATATGAAAAATAGCAGTGTCATGTGCTTCCATATCAGCATTGAGGTTTACAAGCACACCTGATGGCTTTCGTGCTTGTGAATGAGGTACATTGAACAGTTGTGAAGCAGGTATTCTGGAAGGGCAGGTGGTGAAATGGGTTCCCTGGCTTGTTTTATGGCTCTATCAGGGTTAGAGCTCAGAAAAAATTTTTAAGTGCACTCCTTTGGATCTGCTCTCATTGAAGATAATGGATGAGAATCATGAAGAATACTTTCACATTTTCAGGCTTTAAGAGGTTTGAAATGACTGGATTAAAAAGAAGGAAGGTTTTAAGAGGTTGAGAAAGAAAAACGGGCTGCAGAAACACCTGGTCATGCCAGAACCTGTAAGCCCAACCTTCTTCTCCTGGGTACACATGGCCTGTGTGGTTGGGTAATTTCTGAGATTTTTAGAATAGTAATTCTAAGATGATAAAACTAATCTTAGGGGGATCCAAATTACTATGCAGTCATATTTAAATTCTATCTTGCAACCTTTCATCTGAAGATGTCAGATGATATCTCTGTTTTGAAGCTGTGAAAGCAGAGGCAGAGGAATTGAGCACTTTGTATAAAGTAGAACTGTGAGTCAGTGCAGGACAAAATAATAATTGCTATCTTTAGTTTCATGTGTACTAACTGCCAACTACTGTCCTAAAACATCATGTGCATTTAAACTTCATATCAACCTATGGTTATGTTATTACACTCATTTTACAGATGAGAAAAATGAGGCTCAGACAGGTAATATTTTTTTGCCCAGAGGTAATAAAAGACAGAACTGATGGTTAGCCCAGGTCTATCTGACTTCAAAACCTATGCTTTTAATCACAATGCTATCCGTCCTCACAATGTCTCCTTCGTCTACTGACATATTTCTTTTACCACTTTGATTTAACTGACTTATTGTGTTAAAAGATAAAAAAATTTATATTTTCCAGAAACATTGTTATGGATGATCTTTGAAGTAGACCTTTAAGGCCAGTGGATAGGAAGCATTGCTGCATGCATTCTCTAAAGGAAGGGAATAAAATGCTCAAAGATGAGATAATTTGCATGTGGCCACAGGAATGGATGAGTCAGTCAATACCAGAGATAGAGTCTGTCCTTCCAGTTCACCTGTATACTGAAGTCAATATAGTCAAACAGAAGAGTTAAATTAACACCGGTGACTACATAACCCAAGAAATATTATTGTTATTGTTGTTATTATTACCATTTAAGCTTGTACAAAAATATAGAGCCCATTTAAAATTAGTCACTTCACATTAAATCTTGTCAGGTCACATTTAGTAAAATTTAGGGAGGGTACATATAGTAAAATAATTCTTTGATATAAATATGAGATGACACAAATATGAGATATGACATAAATATGCTACACATATTTCAATGTATGTTTTCTCATTGATACTTGACAGCCCTGAGAATCAGATAATTTTAATATCACCATGAATTTACAGCTAGGGAAACCAAAAATTAGGAAGACTG